TTACAAAGACCCCTTCATTGCACAGTGACTCTGTTACCATCTGTATGACTGTGGCAGGACACAGAACTTCTCCTAGCCTTGAGGTCTTTTTCTGTGAAGTGATAATGAAGCCCACCTTGAATGGTTATGGTGAGGAGAAGGAGCCCTAGCTTTTGGTAAGACCCATATTTCCTTTTAGGAAAGGCACATTTCGGTAAGTTGGGACTCAGCTTTCTGTTAATTTCCTTCTGAGCACATTTGACATCCTGTATTTCTTCTGGGCTTCCCGGAGTTATGGTAACAAACTTCTCAGAGGTGATCAAAGAGTGTGGTGCAAAGATCAGTGCACCAGAAATGTGGACGAGTGCTGCAGCTAAGGTGTTCATGGTCCTTTTCCTTCCTGTCAGTCTCTGAGCTGATGGTCAGAATGTAGCATGATTCAGACTGGGTACTCCTACTGCCAAATTCCCTGAAGTTGAAGAACATTATGATGGAAATACATCTTCTAATTCCAGATAGAGAAGTGGCTGGTCAAGTGACAGGTCTGGCCTATTCAGGCTGGTCAAGTGGCCAATCTGATGGCTGATCCAGTAGCCTGAGTGAGCAGGGGAGTCAGTCAGGAAGTTGACAAGACCATAGAAGATGAAGCGGGGACAGACTCAAGCAAGGAGAGGCCACAAATGGAGTTTGGACCAATCATTTGATTGTTAATCTACCAGTGTGAGCTTGCCTATTTCTGTCTAACCGTGTACATTATCCACCAAATGGATAATGTATGTGGATAATGCCAATGGTATTTTATGAACATAGTTGATGCTCACAGTAATGCTTTAGATGTAGACTTCTGTTTTCATTTTCATGGTCATGCCAAGGGATCCAATGACACATAGCCCTATTGACACATAGACCTATTGGCCATACAAGCCTCCTGATGACAGAATGGCTGGCACAACCTTACTTTCCTAAATAGTATGCTGATTCACTTGATCCTTTTTTAAACATCAGCAGATTGGCATTGGTGGATAATTTAGGTCATCAGAGCTAAAGTATGTGTCTGCTGTTTGTAAAGAAGTTCATCATATTTCTAAAAAGTATTTCACAAGAGTGATTGTAAACAAATCTACTTACCTAGTTATACCTTTGAATAAACCCCCTTTTATTGGTTCTTTAAAAAATAACATATATGTCATACAATTATTACACAGACTTTAGCATAATTCTGGCACCTGTTAAGGACTCAGTTAATAAGAGTAATTACTAATTGTTTGATTAATCTTGCATTCTTGCACCTGGTAATCTGACCAACTTCAATGAAGACAAAAATATGTACTATAACAACCACTGTTAATCCTTATCATTTTGTTCTGAAACCCTGTATCATCCTTATTGTTTTTGCTTTGTTTTGTTTTTGTCTGTGTTGTTGGCAGTTTGCTATTGCTCTTTTTTCTCAATTCTCTTTAAAATAAAACAATAAAATATTCTGTTTTAGTTTCTTAAAAAAAGAGTAATTACTGTGCATTATCCACAAAGTCAGAATTGAGTCTACCTTGTATTGCAAAGGGAAGAGTCTTATTAGAAATAGTGCAAATGGTAATGTAAAACCAAATCCCAGTCAACCTAGAGGATAAACTATTGCGTAGACATAACAAACTCTGTATGTTGAATTTACATATAAACAACTACAGTGAAAATAACAGTCAACATCCTTTTAATTTGTAAATTGTTCTATTTATAACAAGAACTCCTGCATAATCTGTTATTAGTGAAGTCACTTCAGTCTTTGAAAAGAAGATAAAAATGTATTTTCTCCTAAATGTATAATTAGGGCCTGGGGAAATTGAGAGTGCATGTACCTTGGGCATCGGGGTCTTCGGGACACAGGTGAGTACAGCACTAGCGGTACTGGTGGAAAATCTGGAGAAGCACTCTGTAAGTAGGATAGGAACGGGATAGTGCTTGGTTGTAGGGACAGTGTCTTCCCTCACTGCATCAAGACTGAAGATATAAAATCCAGTTGCCTGGGTTGGGTCTTAGCCAAAGGCTACACTGGAATCTCTTTGCCTTCATTATAGAAGACCAGGTTATCTGCATCTGAACTACCAAAACTATCCACAGTGGAGGAGAAAATCCTCCAAAGGAAATATAGGATGATTATAGGAAGTGAGGATTGGGGCTGGGTGATCAGTATTATCAGTGCTCCGTTATAGCATTGGACAGACTTGTTTCCATATCTATGTTGCTACTTCCTATTCCAAATACTGTCCTCCTCCAAGTATGTTGTAAGATGGGGATAATAATAAGCCCAACTCCACAAAATCACAATGCGGTATAAACAATGGTACTTTTTAAATGCCCAGCACAATAGCACATCTATTAAATTTCTATAAATTATACCATTCTCTTTTCCGTTATACTTGGGTTAGACTTTTCTGTTTTGCTTCCATGTACATTTACTTATTATATGTCCCTTACATCCAGGCATGTTAGTACTGTTTCACCAAAAGATGTGCTTCTAGAAAAGAAATCATATTTCACTTTAAACAGTGCCTTTTGGTTCTGATGGTAACAGTGACAATGACCAAGAAAAACCAAGAAGGCATTGCCTTAGTAATTAGTTTCAAATAGTGCTTGAGACTTCAAAAAAAATCTATGTAACATGGTATTTTATGAACATAGTTGATGCTCACAGTAATGCTTGAGATGTAGACTTCTATTTTCTTTTTTTTGGTCATGCCAAGGGACCCAGTGACACATAGACCTATTGGCCATATAAGCCTCCTGATGACAGAATGGCTGGCACAGCCTTACTTTCCTAAATAGTTTGCTGATTCACTTGTTCCTTTTTTAAACATCAGCAGATTGGCATTGGCGACATCTGCTAATGATTTGGTTTTACTCATGACTGATATGAGACTTCCATCTGCAGCAATCAGTAAAACACGAGCAATGTGACATTAATTCCCTTGGTCTATGACCAATTTGTAATGATGAGTAAGTAGCCTTGTCTATTTTTCTGTTCTCCCCAAAAGTATCATTATTTATCATGTGTTGAAAACATAGCCGCCAGAAGTTCAGGATAAACCTGGTGACCCTTTTCCAACTTTGTTCAAGTGGAGGTTGCATTGTGTTCTTATTAACAGCTGATCAACTCTCAAATGGCACTAGGCCACCAACTGTGTATTTAAGACTTTCTCTGTCTCTCGTAGATTTTCCTTTCAACCCTTATTCCTACAGGGAAGCACTCTGAGAAGACAGCTGAAGGCTATGTTTTGATACTGTTGTCATTGTTTTCTAGGACCAGATTTTGAGAGGTCCTCTCAAATTACTTTTTTTTTTTCAAACACCATCATTATGTGACTGCCATAGCTTCGTTAAGACATATTAGTTATGTCTACTGATTTAACCCAAAAAATTCAGCAACAGTTCTGTTAGTTTGTTTCTGTAATGCTCACTTAAGATAAGAAAACAATGATCTCCATCCGTGGTAGCAGCTTCATTTGCTAATTCCTCATTCAACACGTATCAGTGTGTATTGTCACCAGCTGGGGGCTATCAAAGCAAATGAGGAGAATGTTTCCTGCCCCCTGGTGCTCATTGTTTGCTAGTGCAGCCAGTGACAGCTGAAAGATCTTCCAGACAGGAGTAGGACTTGTATGTCCACTGTCAATAGCACCTGAGGAAGGTACATGTGAGGGCTTGTCACGTCATGTAGAAGCTCATGATGTAAGTATCAGGTAAATGAATGAAGAGGAATACTCAAGCCAGTAAAGGCCTATTGGGGAGAAAGCCTAATTAGCCCCTCCTTTGGGAACTCCTAGAGTGCTACCAGGGCCTTACTGGCCATTTCCCCGTCTCCTGATTGTGCCAGGCCACCACCTGCCTCAGCGTTTTCTTTCTACCAAAACAACCTTTCTGACCTCTTTGACTCGCTAAATCTACTAAGTAGAGTTTAGCTGAAAAGTCACTTTTACAGAGATCTCTAAATCAGATCAGCCCCATTTAATCTTCTGTCACCACCTGGTTCTTTTCCTTCAAGGCATTCATTATGATTGTACCTGAATTGTTGTTTAATGAGTGTTTGAGCTGTTAAAAATATAAGCCTTGCAAGGGTCCAGTTTATGTTTGCACCTCTGATTTTTTTTATTTTAAAGAAAATAGTACAAAAAAAGAACAATAGCAAAATACAAACAACACAAAGCAAGGACGTTAAAAATGATACAGGGTTTCAAACCAAATGATAGAGATTAACAGTGGTTGTTATAATACATATTGTTATCTTGAACGAAGTTGCTCAGGTTACCAGATGCAAGAATAGAAGACTGATCAAATCATTCAAGGGAATAAGAAAATAATAATTTAAAAGTGGTGGCATAACGGTACTGTTGGTGTCTGATGGTTTGTTGAGGGGAACAGTTAATGATTAAAAGGTTTTTTTTTTATATTTTCACCAACTTTGCACCTCTTATTTTTATACTGAGTAGGAATACAATGCTTTTTAAAAAATGAATTCTGAATTGGAAATTCAACATTCTTAATTTGACAATTCTTCTATTAAGGCTTGCAGACAAACCAAAGCCAGGCTTTTTATGGGCTATAATTTCAAAGACAACCAGGCCAAAGGAAAGAAGAGACGGTAGAGTAAGCCTGGGATGAAAACAGGTCAATATTCTTTTCATTCTGTTTTACTTAAGAGTAACTGTGTGCTCATATCATTAAATACCAAAACAAGGTTTCAGAAACTTTTCCCTTTATACAAACTTTCTAACTACAGAAACAGTAAGAATTATTTTCAAAGCATGCTTGATTTTACTCTTTGCTTATAATACTGATCTATCCTCCACAACTCTAAAAGTTTTTATTGTCCTTCCTGCACTGAGAACAGAAGCTTCCGTACTAAGTTAAGGCCCACTGCTTTGCGTGACCACCACCAGCACTTTTCAAGACGGGCATTAGCGCCTGCAGCAATATCCTCTGTCACCTTTTACTGGCAATAAGCAGTAATCTTGTTTTTCCTTTTGCAGATGGAAGCAATGGGCAGAGATAAATCTGGAACGACTGCCCACGGTCACACAGAGCCTTGGTAGCACACAGGCAATCTGGTTTTCTTCTCATTGGATGAAAGTATAAGAAATACAATTTACAGCCTAGCTAGCTTTTTAATGGTTAGTATGAGAAAGAAAGGAAAGTCCAGATGTTTGATTTTTAAACATGTTTCTGTTCTTGCTTACTGTGAGTTGAATGCTAAATTGTGAGTTTAGTGTTAGCTTTAAAGGTGGACTGGGAAGTATTTTCTCCTTATGACCTGTACTTTCTCGTTCCAATCCTGCATTGGAAAGATTTCAGGGTAGTTACCATGGGACATAGGTGAAGAAGGGAGCAGAAATCACACATGTGAAGTCAGTATTATTATTCCACCTACTTAAAATAGAGGACAAGAGGAAAGGCTGAACAGCAAAAGCCATATGTGGATTCCATTGTTATCGAGGGACATTGGTTTTCATACCTTTGTTTTCAACAAGTATTTATTGAAAATTGACAATGTGCTCATCTTGGGGGATACAACAAAGAATCCAATAAAGCCTCTGTTCCTCTGTGCTTTGCATTTTAGGGACTAGGAGAAGACAGAGGATGGAAGGAAAAATAGCATGTGGGGAAATAAGATAATTTCAAACACTAATAAGTGTTATGGTGATGATAAAACAGAGTGAGGCAATGGCATGGCTGGAGGTGGGGAGCTTAGCTCAGTTCTGTCCTGTCCAATACAGTGACCACCAGCTACCTGTAGCTCTTGTGCGTTTAAAATTTGACTAGTCCAGCTGGGCATGGTGGTACATGCCTGTAGTGTAAGCACTCTGGAAGGCTGATGTAGGAGGACCACAAGATCAAGTCCAGCCTGGGAAACTTACAGATTCAGCAAGACTCTGGGAATATAGCTCAGTGTGAAGGCCCTGGTTCAGTTCCTAGTGAGAGAGAGAGAGAGAGAGAAAGTTCAAATGAAGATGTGTTTTAAGACATGGGCTGAATTTCAAAGGCTTACTAAAGACAGAAGATATAGCTCATTAACTACACTAACTCTTGAAATGATAATATTTTAGATCCATAAAGCAAAATATTATTAAAATTGATTTCATTGCCATCAACAATTGAATAAAGAAAATGTGGCATCTATATTTAATGGAGCACTACTCAGCAGTAAAGAATGACACGTTTGAGACATTTGTAGGAAAATAGATGCACTTGGAAAATATAATGTTGAATGAAATAAGCCAGACACACTAGCTTAAATACTATATGATATTTCCATTTGAATGAGGAAGTACAAACCAAGAAAATGATAAAGGATGGGTAGAAAGGGATGAGGGGGTGAATCTCTTACAATAGGGAGGTGGTTCAAAGAAACAAGGGCAAAAGGTGAAGAGGAAGGGAAGAGGAGATGAAAGGAATAAAAGTGTGACGTGTACAGGAACCTGATAACCCCATTAATGTGAACACTACTCTCCATTACATGAGCTAAGACAAATAATATCAACAAGTATGGAAAGTGGGATAGGGGACCTGGAGGAGGAGGAGGAGTTAAAAGAAAAGGCAAGAAGATATTTTTTAAAAGAAACAAGCTGTGATGTGTACATGTAACCTCTCCCCAAGATGACTGTGAACTGCATGAACTGCAAACATGTGCTAATAAAATTTAAATGTACAAAAAATTTTATTTCACGTCTCTTTTAATGTGACTAATAGAAAACATGAAATTGCACACATGGCTTACATGCGTGTCTCACTTTGTAGGTCGCTGAGACAGCAGGGTCATGAGGGTAGGCCACCTAATGAGGTGATGACACACTTAGCAAGACTGACCATATGACGCTCTGGGAGCAGAGTGGCGTAGGCAAAGAGGACAGCAAGTGTCAAGAATCTGGGGCAGGACTCAGCATGGTGAGTCTCCCAAGAAAGACAGAAAGCTGGACTACCTGGAAGGAAGGCTGACAGAAGGTGGCGGGAGACGTGGCAGGCCCCCGAGGTCAGGGCTTGCTTTGCTTAAGCCAGGCTCCACAAACTAGAGTAAGAAGGTAGAATTTTATGTAAATACAGATTTTTCCATAAAACATCACAGCAGATTTGCTTCTGTGCAATTTCCCAGGAACGGTTCCAGAATATCAATATTCAGCATAAAAACTCCTCTGAAAAATGCAATAGAATCCACTCAGCTTAGAATAGCTCCATGCTAATGAAGGCTTACACTGGAATATGCATTTATTAAACTCATTTATTTTCATATACAGTAACAGTTGTGATGGTTATATATGGGTGGAATTTGTGAGAAGGAAGAACATAGATTGATAGAACGTGCTCATAGAAACTAAATGAGTATCTCAGGCTCATCTTCGTTTACTCATTTCAAGCTCAAACTCCAAGTATACGTGTGTGTAATCAGGGAGGGTGGGCAAACCCAAGTCTACTCAGAAAGTGCGAGGTGTGGTTTGAGAGGTAAATCCTGAAGTTTTCCTTTCTTACATATGTTTGTCCACTACACATAGGTTTTTCTCTTCCTGGACTACTCCCAGGAAGAGGAAAATAAGCCAGATATATTCTTTTCTTTTCTCCCTCCAGGGTAAATGGTTCTAAAATTTAAAGTTTAACCTTTAATAACCAAATATTTCTAATGTACTTCACATTTTCTATAATGAATTTCTTGCCACAGAATGAATATTTTGACTTTCATAAATGTAAATGGAAAACTTTTATTCTAAAATTTCAAAAGGAAACTGTCCTTCACAACATTAGGTAGCTCTTATGCACACAGAAAGCCAATCCACTCATGTCCTCACTAGGGATATATGGTCACTATAACGGGTTTTGCCCAAATTTTCAGTGCAGGGGTACTGTCAAGATTGATGACTACTCAAATTATGTCAGCTCCGTCCTGAGGTCATCAACCTCGGAATGTTGATGTACCTGGGTCACTGGAAACCAGCGAATCTAACAATACTGGTACAAGAGGGGCCAGGTGAGTCACCCAGGTGCTGTCCTTTTATTTAAGGTTTCTTAATCTCTGACATTATGGATGAGTGGGACATTGTTACTTTACCTGATACAATGATTTCAAAGAGTCTCTATTCACAAGCAGTTTAGAATCTAATCTAAAACCTAGACTTTGCTTTGCTGATGGACAGTCTAAAAACAAGGGAACGGATCCTAAAATTGTATCGCCAACTTACTTTCTCAAAGTAAAAGTCTCCATTTAAATAAAACACAAAAGGCCAGTGAGAGCCTAAATTAATAGGCTGTCAATTAATAGTATGTACCTGGCACATACCAGGTACTCAACAAATATTTGTTGAATGTTGGAAAGCCAAAATGTTAATTAAGATTTTGGGTCACTTTTCTGTGAAATTGGTCAACAATGCAATAAAAAAGGGTGAAACCTTATTTTAGCTGAATGGTTTCTTCTTAGGAATCTTCCTGGGGGAGCTATGAATATAAGGATCAGAAAAAAAAAAAAGTATATATTATTGCCGGGCATGATGGCGCACACCTGTAATCCCAGCACTCGGGAGGCTGAGGCAGGAGGATCATTGTGAATTCGAGACCAGCCTGGGCTACAAAGTGGGCCCAAGGCCAGCCTGAACTGCATAGCAAGACCCTGTCTCAAAAAGACAAAATTAAGGGGCTGGGGATTTAGCTCAGCGGCAAACACGCCTGCCTGGCAAGTGCAAGGTCGTGAGTTCGGTTCCCAGTACCGGAGAAAAACCAAAAAAAAAAAAAAAGACAAAATTTAAAAAGTATATATTATTTTCAAGAGATTCCAGGATCACAACAGTGCCCCCTCTGATAGGCTGAAACCCACCATGGCCTTCAGCACATCTCAGTCTTTTCAGTCTAACTGTGGAGCCTAAAGGGCTGAGATCATCAGTGCTTTGGATGCTCATTTGTGCAATGAGAGAAAGTAAGATGGCCATGCCCACACTTCCAATCCAGTGACCCTTCCAGACAGCCAGCATGGCCTGCACCCTTCCTCTGAGCTCAACAAACAAATTTGCAACTCTTCCTTTATGGGACCCAAGGGTTCTCAACATAACAGTGAACTCAGCTGAAAATAAAAGACACTCATAACTTGTAACTAAGAAATTTGAAAACTTCAAGAACAAAAGTGAAGGCAATTTTGAAAATGTGGGTGCATACAATAATTACCATTATTAAGCACAAAGTCTGCCGAGTAAATTTTATGAAACCTATTTAAAGTTTAATCAAATTGAGGTTCTTGGTAATTAAGGCACTTGGGAGAGCCAAAAAATAACAAAGAAGGGGAGTACATTTCTGAGTCCAGGTATGAGCTCCTGCCTCCTGACCAAAAGGCACATGGCACATTTCTGTGAAGTAAAGTCACAGCAGAACACCTCACTGCTTTAGGATTGTTACAGCATTCATGAAATTTTCCAAATTAGAAATTGCTTGCTTATTACATTATATATTCTCCTTTATTGCTATTGTTATAAATTACGTTAATTATACTTAGGAAAACATCAATAATAAATAGAGAGAGATGTACCAAGGAGAAAACATTCACAATGTAAGCATCCCTGCAGACCTACAGTAATAAAATGAAGTGTGTGTGTTTGGTTTGGCTTTATTTCTTAGCATGCCAGCCCTAAACTTGTAGATATCTTCACTTCACACTCAATATGAATGCATAAAATCTGCCTTAACAACTTCTTTCCCAAACCAACTCATCTTTTAAGTCCTTGTTTCTGTGATTTTTCACTCACAGTCCCAGTGGCACAACCAGCCCTGGAATCACAGGTCTGTCTTTCCTTTCCACTGAAGTCAGGTCATTGCCCCACCTCACCCATCCAATTTCAGCAAAGATTTGTGTTTGAGTCTCCTATGTTTGGCCTTCCCTACTTTCCTTCTGTTTCAGTTCTAATTCATATTTGTGCTACTTCATGCATTAGAAAGTTCCAACTCATATTAACATAAACATTAATATTATTAATTATTCCACATAACAAATCAACTGCTCCAAAACATCAACAAGAAATCAGGTTTCTTATTGAATATAGTCTTTGTCCACAGATGAGCTCCTCTTAGCATAGCAAAATGATAGCATGGCAGCTCCAAGGATCATGTGGAGGCAGTTAACTTCCATCAGAAGAGATTGTCTCTTCCCAAGAACCTCTTTTTCAAAAAAGGAAGATATACTCCCTCAAGGACTCTAACGGGCATTGTATAACAAATATATATAACCACGTCCTTCATGAAGGTATCTTTCTATAGCAGAGGCCTAATTATTATTATTATTAGTTATCTCAGTGGTTACAAATGGGCTCTATAGACTCATCCTAAGATGAATTCATCTTCTGGATACATGAGACCTTTTTTTCTGAAGGTCATGGTAAGAAGCAGAGGGAGAGAAATCATGGAACAAAACCAGGATTCAGTGAGGAAGGAGGAAGCAAGGACATAATGGCTAATAGATGGACAGCTAGTGGAATAGGCATGTATCTCCTGCCTGGGCTGTCATGAATTATGGCTTAGTCCCACCTCATCCATTCCAGAGACTCTCTGGTGCTTAATGTTCATAAAGTACAACATTGTCGCAGAACTCAGTGCCAACTTCTCAATCTGGCTTCCAAAATTCTCTACAGTTTACTCCAAATTTCCTTCTCCAAATGTCAGCCCATTCAAGACACTTTCTCTCCAGAGCACCATCTCCTTCCTTCACCTCCTCAAGGACCCACCTCTATCTTATCACCCAGGTGAGCTTCCTAAAGAGCAAAGATCTATTGTACTTAAAATAATTTCTTGTAGGATAAATTTTAAATTCTTTAGCATGGCATATAAAGCCTTTTACAAATTAGCCCCTACATG